AGAAGAAGAAGAAGAAGAAGAAGAAGAAGAAGAAGAGGAGATTGGATTTATACCCCGCCCTTCACTTGGAGTCTCAGAGCGGCTTACAAACTCCTTTCCCTTCCCCTCCCCACAACAGACACCCTGTGAGGTGGGTGGGGCTGAGAGAACTCTGACACAAACTGCTCTTTTTCAAGGACAGCTGTGCCAGAGCTTGTGACTGACCCAAGGTCACATCAGCAGGTGCAAGTGGAGGAGTGGGGAATCAAACCCGGTTCTCCCAGATTAGAGTCCGCGCACTTAACCACTACACCAAACATGCTTAAGTACCACCAACATGAAAGACAAGTTAATGGCAGCCAAGGCTCCCGCTAAGCTGTGGAGTCTTGGGAGCAAAAATGCTACTTGGTGAGCTACCGGCATTAAAGTTGTGAGCAAGTGATTTGGCTACTGCATAAATTAGCTTGCTCTGGAGCCCTCCTTCCTGAGCTAAGACAAAAATGTGTGAGCCGGAGGCTAAAAAAACTGAGCTGGCTCACACTCACTCAGCTTAGAGGGAACATTGGTGGCAATTGACCTGCCCAATACAAGTTCATCATGACTAACTTCCTCTGCATCAGAACCAGTCAGGGAGGGAGAGAGAGAGAGAGACATCGAGAGAAAGACACACGAATACGGGAAGCTGCTTCATACTGAATCAGACCCCTGGGACTCCATCAAGATCAGTATTGTCTACTCAGACTGGCAGCGGCTTTCCAGCATCTCAGGCAGAGGCCTTTCACATCACCTACTGCAGTGTCATTGATGCAACGAACATGAAATTGAGCCAACTTCAGAGGATGGCGGAAGACAGGAGGGCCTGGCGGGAGCTGGTCCATGGGGTCGCGAAGAGTTGGACTCGACTGTGCGACTGAACAACAACAACAACTGCATGGAGATGCCAAGGACTGAACCTGGGACCTTCTGCATGCCAAGCAGATGCTCTATCACTGAGCCACAACCAATGTTCCCTCTAAGCTGTGGAGTCTTGTGAGTAAAAATTCTACTTTGTGAGCTACTGGCATTAACGTTGTGAGCGAGCGATTTGGCTGCTGCATAGCTCAGCTTGCTCCTGAGCTAAGACAAAAATCTGTGAGCCAGAGGCTAAAAAACTGTGAGCTAGCTCACACTAACAGCTTAGAGGGAAGTGGCCACAACCCCTCCCTAGAAAACAGACAACGGCTGCGGTCAGACAAGCAGTTTGATCCGATGTCATTGCTGTTGCCCTCCATATTTATTTTTTTTATAAATAGCATTTTTATTGAGTTTTATATATTTTTACATCCTGTATTACTTGCTAGTTGTATACAGTATCTTTCAACAGCATCTAATAAACAAATGTTATCCATACGCACAATACTTGTTAATAAAACACAAAGTCTCTATATTTCTGAGGTAGTGCATATAATCGGGGTTGACAAGCAGAAAGATATTAAAAAAACACAAACCATTTTTCAAAAAAATTATTAACACATTTCGGATTGTCAAAAGCTATTAATTGCATAGCGATTTTTATCTGAAACTATCAAGTCCCACAGTTTAGATCTCCATTGTGACAGATTTGGTACCTTAAACAATTTCCAATTTAAAGCAATTACGTTTTTTGCAGCCATTAGCATAGTAGAAATTAACTCTTCGTTCTGTTTAGACCGCTTCAGACCTGGCCAAAAATGTAACAAAAGAGATGCAGGTGTATTTGGAATCTCATAATTAGTTATTTTCTTTATTTCAGCAATGACCGTAGTCCAAAACTTTTTAATTCGGGGACAATCCCACCAGCAATGTCAGACAGTGACATCTGCCTCCCGTTCCCCAGTTGTTGGCATCCTGTTCTGACCCACCTTGGAATCGGAGTTATTCGGCACTGGGGAAAGTCCGGTCTTTATGGATGTTGGGGCTTCCATCCCGCATTTCCGGATGTCTGAACTCCCCTGTTGTGAACTCATGCCAATTGGGAAGTGTGAACTTTCCCATCCATTTCTGCTCCCCCCCAATCATGTAGTGACGTGTGCATAATTGACCCTAGCATTGTCAAGCACCACTTGGACATCCAGGCCATCAAGTAGTCATTCTGGATTGGGAGCCCCTGGGGGAGTTGTTCTTGAGTGACAAATCCCACCCCCAAAACCCCTCTTGTTTCTGCTTCAGAGTTATTGTTTGAGAGCATCCCATGATTGACGCAAGAGCAAATGTACTGAAGTCAATGGGACTACTCTCATGGAAATCTGCATGGTGCTTGCACTCCCCCCACCCCCATGTATTCCAAGGAAGAGAGGCCATGCGAAGGAGGCCGAGAAGGGCTGCAGTACTTGGCAGAGGGATCGCAGAGCTGTCAAAATGAACTGGTGCATCGAATGAACAGTTTTCTGCATGTCTGGATGCTGTCTGACCGTGCAGCAATAATCTGAACAGTCAACTACAGAGTGAGCGCACGGTGAGGCAGGTTCAGGGTCTGATGTCTGATCAAAATCTCCATTACAAAAAACCCCCTGGATTAATTAGAGGCAGGGCCAGAGCGTGCCAAACCTGTCGTTTGACTGCAGCTATTCTGTACCAATTCCAAACTAATCAGGCTACTTGCTTTCAGACCTATATGAGCTTTTGATCTTTGAATGCGCAAAACTCCTTGAGATGGGCAGTTAACTCCCTAATGCAGGCGTC